ACTGTATGTTGCTACCAACAGTAACAAAACCTACAAGAGTTACAGAGACAAGTGTTTCCCTACTTGACCACATCTGGACCAACACCATATCCCCTTTAACCCTTTCAGGGTCCAAGGCCCAAATCTGGAGTCACGCACCAGTGTCCAAGAATTTAAAAAAAAAAAAAATTTGTTATTTTTTCTTATGAAATCGTAGAGAATCTTTTTGTGAAGGTAATAAAACAAAAAGTACGAAATTTGGTGGAAAATTGACGAAATTATGCTCTCGCGAATTTTGATGTGTCAGCGATATTTACAAATCGGCGATTTTGCTGACTTTGACTCCCATTTTAGGCCAATTACATTATTACAATCAACCAAATTCTTAGCTATTTCACTAGTATTACTTCTATTCTATCGATTGAGCACAAGAAATCGCCAAGTCAACTGTTTCAACTACAAAATAAAGTGATCGGAAATTGTTAATTTGGCCAATTTAACACAAAGTTCAAAATATTCCAATTTCAAAATAGGGTCCAGAATAAACAATGTAGGTATTCCTGCCACTAAACTAACATTTCCTCTGTTCATTAGTTATGTTTTGAGGCTTTACAAATAAATTCCATTTTGATTTTTTATTCACATAATGAATTTTTATTCACACCAAAAAATAGAAGATATACTGTTATGCAATATTGTAATAATTGTCTAAATATCATCACCATATTTGTGAATGTATATTAGATCCACCAGCTGACGTGTATTAGACGTGTGAGGTCGTTTGTTTACTCTTGAATATCGGCAAAAATTTAACATTTCCGCTACTTTGAGCTCAGTTTCAAGCCATTTCCAGTGCTAAAACCAATCAAAATCTTCTCTATTTCTGTAATATGTCTTCTATTCTATCAAATGAGACCAAGAAATCGCAAATACAACTATAAAAAACATACGAAAAAACACTGCAAAGTTCCTGTTTTAATCGAAAAATCATGATTTAAGTTTTTTTCTCTCATTATACACAGTGTGCTGCAGGATCTGTTTCATGTGGTGCACACATACCACATAGATGTATTCTCTCATATCTAGGCCCAAATGTACCACTCACAGTTTATCAGAGTGAGCTGAGCTCATGGCGTAGATCTACGGTTTGGACACTCACCGTAAAGCCGTAGATCTACGGGACGGACCCTGAAAGGGTTAAAATCAGGCATAATTACAGATAATACCACAGACCACTACCCTACTTTCCTCATAACAACTCTTGGTAAATTACCCCAAGACACTACTAAAGTCACCTTCAGACTTCACAATGAGGCAGCCATTAATAACTTCACAACAGCAGTAGCAAACATTGACTGGCACACTGAGCTAGAAATCTATACAGATATTGACGAATGTATTAATAATTTTCTAAAAAAGACCCAATACCTCTATAACAAGCACTGCCCTAAAAAAACTAAACAGATGGACAGCTAAGAGACTGAACAGTCCCTGGCTAACACCCAGCATTTTCAAATCATAAATACAAACACCAATATGAAAAACAGTACAGAATGGGTCACATAACCAGAGACCAAACAAAACGTTACTCATCAATCCTAACCAGCCTGATAAGAAGGGCAAAAAAATTGTATTATGAGAACAGATTATCCAACCTACGAGGTGATATAAAAAAGACCTGGAAAACCCTATCAGAAATTTTTGGGAACAAAAAGATATCACGAAATAGCGAAATAAAATTAGCAAAATCAGATGAACCCCAATCCCACCAACAGAAACAGCAAACAGACTCAATGATTTCTTCTCCACTATAGGACAAAACCTTGCCAATAAAATCCCAAGCTCAGATACCCCACCAAATGACTACCTCACCGGCAACTACCCGAACACAAATGTTCCTAGCTCCGACTAACCCATACGAAGTCTCCCTTATTATCAACACACTAAAAAACAAGGCAGGAGATTTAAATACCTTACCACCCTTTATATACAAAAAAGTGTCACAAGTGCTATCACCAATCATTGCCAACACTCTTTAACAAATCCATTGAATCCTCCACCTTCCCTACAGTACTCAAAATAGCAAGGGTCACCCCGATCCACAAAGGAGGAGACCAAACAGAGTTGAATAACTATTTGGCCAATATCCAACTTAAACCCTCTCTCAAAAATCTTCGAAAAATTAATTCATAAACGAATCTACTCCTACCTTATCTCCCAAAAACATACTCAACCCTGCCAATTTGGATTCAGGCCTAATAAAAATACTAATGATGCTATTATACACATGCTAGAACATATATACATTGCAATAGAGAAAAAAGAAGTCCCACTGGGGATCTTCATTGACTTACGTAAAGCTTTTGATACAGTTGACCATGACTTGCTCCACGTAAAATTGTCACACTATGGTATAAGAGGGCACTCCCTCAACTGCCTCAAGTCATACCTCAGCAACAGAAGCCAATATGTGTACGCAAATGGGGCAAACTCTTCTGCACAACAAATTACAGTTGGTGTCCCACAGGGAAGTGTCCTTGACCCTCTTCTCTTTCTCCTATACATAAATGACCTACCAAATGCTTCGCAATTACTCAAACCCACACTATTTGCAGATGACACTACATACGTCTTCTCCCACCCGAGCCCAGTCACGCTAGCCAATACTGTAAATACCGAATTTCAGAAAATATCTACCTGGATGAGGACTAACAAACTTACACTAAACATTGACAAAACCTACTTCATTCAGTTTGGTAACAGAGCTACAGATGTCCCCTCTTAACATAATGATAAACGGATCACCTATCACAAAGCTAACAGAGGGAAAATTCTTAGGAATCCACCTTGATAATAGACTCAAATTTCATACACATATACAACAAATCTCTAAGAAAATTTCCAAGACTGTAGGCATACTATCGAAGATACGGTACTATGCTCCACAGTCAGCCCTCCTGGCCCTATATCACTCTCTTATTTACCCCTATCTCACCTATGGAATTTGTGCATGGGGCTCAACAACAATTAACCATCTCAGACCACTAATTACCCAACAAAAGGCTGCAGTTAGAATGATGATAAATTCTCACTATAGGCAGCACACACTACCAATATTCAATACACTAAACCTACTCACCATACAAAACATCCATACTTATTACTGCACCTATTACATACATAGAACACTTAACTCTGATATTAACCCTCCCCTCAAACATCTCCTTGCCAACCTCAACAGAACACATGACCATAACACAAGGCACAGATCACTCTTTGATGTTCCTCGTGTCCATCTCACACTATGCAAAAACTCAATGCACATAAAAGGCCCTAAAATCTGGAATTCATTACCTGTAAATATAAAAGAAACACTACCTGTTTATAAATTCAAGTCTCTTCTCAAAGATCACTTACTCACCCAAAACCAAATAAATACTGAATAACTGAACCTTATAAATTGTATATCTTAAATGTTTCTCACAATTATATCACATAAATGTTAAACCTAAAACCCAATCTAACTTTATTATTTTTTAAATACACTACCTAACAGAATACTCCATTCTACTGAATGTACAACAATGCATGCAACCATATGACCTGTCTTTGTTATACTCACTTGTGCTTTATAGTAATCTGTTTACATTAATGTTTTATCACTGATTTCATCATTGCTTAGTTAATTTTAAGCCAGCCCGTAATGCTATGCATAGTATAAGTGGCTTTGGCATGCTGCTCTTATCTGTATTTTTTTGTACCTCTGTATGTGTGCTCAAATTGTTAATAAATAAATAAATAAATAAATGGTAGCTTATGGAATATTATGAAATATTTCGTATAAACAAGTGAGGGGTCCGTCACTCACTGGTAAACAATGGCACACTGGCTGGGAAGGGAGGCCGAGGCGGCTTAGAGCGTGAGTATGCATCCAGGATGAAAGACGATTAGCGAGTCAACGGACCGTTTGAGAGCCAATGTTTGGATGGAAATAACGCAACGATTTCCGAAAAGGACAACTATCAAGCTGGACGATTATTGAGGGACCACTGTATTTGTATTTTTTTTTTTTTTTTTTTTTTTTTTTTTTTTTTCTCTCCAAAAATATTTTGACACCAGTAGGCACCTCAAGATTTCGGGTTGCGACAGTCAAAGGGTTAAGACCCATTCTGTGCTGACCAGGCATCTCGGGCCAATTGTGCCAAATTTGGAGGCAAGAAAAATAAAACGTGTATATACATTTGGGGTGCTAGCGGTAAGAACGTATATGTACGTTTGGACCGTTTACGGGTTAAACCAAAAACACAGTTTCATGCACTGCATGCTGCAGGATTTTTTATGTGGTACAAACTTATCATGTAGATCCATTCTCTCGTATCTAGGCCTAGATTTACCTCTCACAGCTTATTTGATTGAGCTGAGCTCATGGTGTAGTACAACGGGACCAACCCTGGCTTCAAAGGTGTAGTAGAAAGTGATTGACACTGAAAGGGTTAAGCAGAATTAAGGGTTATTTTTGGGGCCACTGTAAACTGTGGATACCGGTCCCACAGATATGGGGGTCCTACTGTATACCTCTCCGCTGAAAGTCTCCTACCCTCTTAAACTTAATTTTCCTTAGAGTTTGGACATTCAGTTTCTTTTCATTTTTATTTTTTACAGTCAATTTTTTTTTCATCCAAACTACTTTCATGCACATTCAGACAACTGCTTCTGAAATATTTTCTTTTTCCTTGTAGTAGTTTATACAGAAGGGGTTACTAGCCCCTTGCTCCTGGCATTTCAGTCACCTTTTATGACACGCATGGCTTAGAGGAACAATTTATACTTCCTCACGTAGGTGAAAGGAAGCGCTGGAAGATCAAGAACTATTAAGGTATTAGATGAAAACTCAGATGAGCATGTTTGTACATACAGTTCTATGCTATTTAACTTAACTATTTATATTTTTTATGTAGGTTCTTTTTTATTATACAGTAAGAAAGGATAACCTGGACATTTAGTAGATACAGATATTGTAGCCTGTTTTTCAGGAGGGTGGTCCATCAGAGATGGTAGGAAGTAGTCATGCCAAAACCATCAATGGTGCAAGTAGTAGTAGCAGCAGTGGTGGGTGTATTAATGGTGCAAATGGAGGCAGCAGTAGCCAATGGCGACCTTGCAACATCTGCCTAGAAGAAATGTGTCAAACTGAATTGAGAACTCACCACACGTGTGAAGATTGTCTGCTCTGTGATGGCTGTATTGAGGTAGGTTGAACTAGACTGCTTTGTTTTACTAAAATACGAAGAATAGTTCTGTTGCTGGTTCTGTTTGTTGCTTAAGAGATTTTAAAAGTTACCAAGATTATACGAAGAGGTAACCAATCATACAGCATCAAATATATTGACGTGGAAAACCTTAATCACATATGGTTACCATATATGTTGGCATATAAGTCGATCCCTAAAATTTGAGGTGTTAATCAGGTTTAGGCCTATATTTGCCCAATAGGTTGATCCCCCCATGTTTGACTCTTATTAGTTTAAAATATCACAATTTCCGCAACTTATTTTTTCATTCCATATTATCTTTATGGTCAGTATAAAGTCTCAAATTACTGAGTTAGAATTTTCATTACATGGCTATTGCAAACATGGTGTGCAACTAACTACTGTAGCAAAACTGTTTGAAATGCATATCTTCTCTATTCATGAAAAGTCTAATAGCATGTCAAATCCAATGTCTCAGTTGCTGTACAGTTTGTGTTTACATTTGTGAAAGGATGGGCTTTGTACTCCTCATATTTTAGGTATTATTTTTCATACAACATGATATTTTTCTTTTATTAAAGAGGTGTCTGGCATGAAAAATAAAGCAGGTAAGAAGTAGCATATAAAACTTGCAACTGTGGTACAACTGTGATACTAGCATGATAGCATCAGTAGGTTAGTGGTGTGCCCTAATTTTGGAGAGATTTGTTTTATGCTTAAGAAGTTGGCTTATACTCTGGCATGTATGGTAAGTACTTCATAAATGTATAAATATTTGGGTAACTTAGGCAAATATATAAATCTTTCTAAATTCAGTATAAGGTTTTATTTATAATTGTGCAATGGTTCTGGAGTTTTTGATGCAGACAAATCCCCCTGGCCTAAAATATGCTGTCCATTTTTTTTTTCTCTCATGGTCACCTGTGTATTGTGAAAATACTTTATTCATTCTCTTGCTCTGGAGGACAGTTGTATAAAAATGATCCTGCTAACCAGTTTCAGCATTATCAAAAAATATTTTGAAAAATTGGATGGCTTAATACATATTTGGATAATTTTTATTATAGTATATCTGTTTCATATTCTGTTCTAATGTAGAATACAGTGACTTGAGGCAACAAGTCAATAAGTGGCTTTTATTTTAGATAACTTTTCTCTCAAATCTTAAGCTTGGTCCTGGGCAGAACATTTCTTCAATAAAGGTTTGCTTTCTGTTACATGCCTTTATACCCATGAGATATTACCATATTTATAGACGGTTATTAACATTTATTGATTTCAACTACAGTAGTTATTGGTTTCTTCTTGAAAATTTCATTATCTGAACCTGTATTGTTTATTAGGAAAAATGACAAAAGCATAAAGGTTATTGAAAACTGTTAGGTGCACTAGGGAACAAAGTAGCAAGCTTTCACTTGCAAGTCCAGGACTGTATTGACTCGGCCACAGTGTACACGATAAATATAACAATAGCCCCAACTTTTACTCAGTCTACTTATTATTTAGAGTTCCTGAATATGCAGCATCATTTCAGTTGTCCATCACTTCTGTCTAGTCAGTCAGTAGTGTTAATTAGCTGACTAGAGTTAGTAATATTTTAGCTAGCTGTTTTTGCTTTGTTATGAGGTGTCCTACACATTTCCTTTCTAAATGCCAAGGCATGCAGCATATTATTTTTCTGGATATAATTTAAGTGCTGTCTACACATGCCAGCCACACCATATGCTGCCAAACCGAAGCCATAGTCAGCAGGAACATATCACACCTCCGCCTTTCTCAAAATACAGTACAGGTTGGCCATCACTAATCCGGCATCATTGCAGGATTAGTGATGGCCCACCTGTATTACTTTTACATTGATGCTGTAGAAAGCGTGGCAGCTTTTAGGAGACTTGCCCATACATCTTCCCTCCTTTTATTTGCCAAATAAACACTACTTTGCCTTACCCAGCAAGGTCTGGGGAATCTCTAGAATATGTGATGCATTTGGGCAGTCAGCTTATATAATGGTTACACTTCAGTGAATGCTTATTGTATCTCCACTACAACTTTCTCATTAATACAATTATTCACTACATATTATCATTCAGCATGTTCAACAGTTATTGTACTCTGCTGCCATGGGTTCAAGCCCCACCTGTTCTGTGATTTAGTTCGAGATACAGCTTGAGTAAATAAATTACTGTTAATTAAAGACACGGGAATGTGTAATTACTGCATATTTATGATAATGTAACATACTGAATTTCTGTGAGTTTGATGTTAATATATTCTCTTCACACTTTTAATATAGGTGTTGAACCCTTTCACTGTTGGTGCTCTAGTACTACGGCTTGTAAGCCAGTGTTAGTGCCGTAGTATTACACCAGAATTCTAGCGGCTTCAAATCTAGTGGTAGAAAACTGGTAAACCTACATGTGAGAAAATGGGTCTGCATGGTCATTGTGTGCAGTATAAAAAAATCCTGCAGCATGCAGTGAATAATGAGAAAAAACTCCGATTGTGTTTTTGGTTTAAAATGCCGACTCTGAGTTGTATTTTTGTATGGTATTTATGGTTGTATTCTCATTTTCTTGGTCTCATTTGATAGAATGGAAGATATATTACAAAAATAGAGATGATTTTGAGTGTTTCACGATGAAAAGTACCTTGAAATTGAGCTCAGTAGCGGAAATGTTTGATTTTTGCTGGTGTTCAAGAGTAAACAATTGATGTCATTGTCCCATACATGTCCAACTGGCCAGTCTAATACGCAGTCACGAATAGGTTGACATTATTTATACAGTTATTACAATAATGCCGTAGTCTGCATAACAGTATACAGTGGAACCTTGACTTACGAGTTTAATATATTCCGTGACCTAGCTCGTAACTCAGTTTGCTCGTATATCAAATCAGTTTTCCTCATTTAAATTAATTGAAATGCCATTAATCCATCCCAGCGGCAGGACAAAATATTTCAATATAACAACTCTGTGCCTTATTTATCTATCACAATTCATCTAATATGAAATAAACAATATAATTAACAGAGAAACATGATATATACTCTAGAATGAATAAAATAGGCCATAATATGACGAGTGATGTTACAATTTATTTTGTTTGATTGCTGAACTTAACCGATACAATTTGCTTTAATTCCATGGAAATCATCCTCTTTTTCTTCTCAGCACTGTCCTTTGTACTTACTGTATTTTCTTAGGGCCTATGGTTAGAAAAAAGAAATTTGGCCAAATGACTGTAAAAAATGCAAGCAAGCTGGAGAGAAATGCTCCCATGGCGATGTAAATGTGTGGGCTACTGGATGTTTTGCCATTGGCTATGCCAACTAGGGGCAGCATTGTGAATTATTATGTATGTATTATTATTGTGCAAGACAGGTATACAATACCGACAAGATGAAAGTTAAGACACTTGTGCAACATCTGGTTATCTTCATTGTAGACGTTTCGCCATCCAGTGGCTTTATCAATACAGATTCTTGGACATAATAAGAAATCAGAAGAACTATATACAAAAGATGAGGTAATCAGTGCCTCAGCCTTGGAGGTGGTGTTTAGAGCACCGTGGTTGTAGAGATTCTAAAGCATAGGCAAGGAGACTGGCGCTTATATAGGCGTCAGTGAAAGGGACGTGTAGCAGATGAGGGCATAGTCACTGGTAGGCGGGATTCCCCAGTGGAAGTAGGTCCTACCCAAATTGATGGGTTAGTTGCAGTAGCCATGAAGAAGGTGATGTAGATGTCCTCTGAACCAAGATTCCATGATGTAGTGCCTGACAAGTTGTGCAAGACGGGTATACAATACCGACATGATGAAAGTTAAGACACTTGTGCAACATCTGGTTATCTTTATTATAGACATTTCACCATCCAGTGGCTTTATCAATACAGATTCTTGGACATAATAAGAAATCAGAAGAATTATATAGACGTCCCTTTCACTGACGCCTATATAAGCGCCAGTCTCCTTGCCTGTGCTTCAGAATCTCTACAGCCACGATGCTCTAAACACTACCTCCAAGGCTGAGGGACTGATTACCTCATCTTTAGTATACTGTATAGTTCTTCTGATTTCTTATTATGTCCAAGAATCTGTATTGATAAAGCCACTGGATGGTGAAACATCTACAATAAAGATAACCAGATGTTGTACAAGTGTCTTAGCTTTCATCTTGTCAGTATTGTAGACCTGTCTTGCACAACTTGTCAGGCACTACATCATCATGGAATCTTGGTTAAGAGGACATCTACATCACCTTCTTCACGGCTACTGCAACTAAACCATCAATTTGGGTAGGACCTACTTCCACTGGGGAATCCCGCCTACCAGTGACTATGCCCTCGTCTGCTACACGTCCCTTTCACTGACGCCTATATAAGCACCAGTCTCCTTGCCTGTGCTTCAGAATCTCTACAACCACGGTGCTCTAAACACCACCTCCAAGGCTGAGGCACTGATTACCTCATCTTTTGTATATAGTTCTTCTGATTTCTTATTATGTCCAAGAATCTGTATTGATAAAGCCACTGGATGGCGAAACGTCTACAATAAAGATAACCAGATGTTGCACAAGTGTCTTAACTTTCATCATGTATTATTACATATTATTATTATTATTATTATTATTATTAATTTAGGGAACTGAAGCTCATTATTATTATTATTATTATTATTATTATTATTATTATTATTATTATTATTATTATTATACAGTGGACCCCCGCTTAACGATCACCTCCCAATGCGACCAGTTATGTAAGTGTATTCATGTAAGTGCGTTTGTACGTGTATGTTTGGGGGTCTGAAATGGACTAATCTACTTCACAATATTCCTTATGGGAACAAATTCGGTCAGTACTGGCACCTGAACATACTTCTGGAATGAAAGAATATCATTAACCGGGGGTCCACTGTAGTACTATTATAATATTATAATAATAATAATAATAATAATAATAATAGCAATAATAAGAGCTTCAGAACGCCACCAAC